CGAACCAAACTGTCTGAGTTCGGCCCGACTTCAAACCGATTTCGGATGCGTATTCGTCCGACCTTTGGCCGAGTTTTGTGCCGAAATCAGACCGAATTCGCAAGGATATTCATGGGAATGTTGGAAGGGAAATTACAGTTATCGGAATGATTTCGGACCGAACTCAGAAGTAATATCGTCCGCATTTCTAATTTTTATGTTGGCTTTTACCAGTTTTCGATTCGAATTCCGAAGAAAGTTGTTATGGAGTTCTGCTGTACATATTAACAACAACTGCCATAATGTATTGACAGAAGCAAATAACAACAAGTAAAAAAAACTTGTAAGTTCGGCCATTTCGTAAAGAAAACATTTTTACATAAAAGTATCTTGATTTGAACGTGTTTCACTTTAAACTACAAATACCAGTAAGGCCGTTTTGTTAAATTTTTCAAAAAACCATAAAGTGGGTAAAGCCTTTATATGGGCCTAGATATTCACTGTTCTGCCACCGAAATCAAATATCATTTTTTTAGACAAATCCGTAGAAAAATGTGGACCGATATATCTCATTTTCAATACCAACCATTCTAGACTCAATACAAAGTTTTGTGCCAAATTTTAAAGCTCTGCGTCAAATAATGTGACCTGTGTCGTAATGTAAAGGCGTGCTGAGAGCCCTCTACATAAAAAGACTAAATCCGCATTCCCATTGTCTATATATTCATTAGTCTATAGTTGTGCCATTAAAAAAGTACAGGAACACAACAATTATATTCAAGTGATTTCTATGGCCTACCTTGCACTATGGTTAAACGATTAAAAGTTACAACTAATACATAATCGATTTCTTTTCCATTATTAAACTGAAAATTGGAGAAATTCGAAACCAAATAGGGAAAGCATAAGGGGAACATTCAAAAATGTTTTACAATCGCTATAATTCCTATAGTCCCAATATAACGCTACCTCCCGATATTCGGTATTTTGACGATTTTAGACACATTTTCTAACGGAATGCTCAAAAGGTCAACATTTTCTTTTAGCCCAAATTGGTATTACCCAACCACACACACTTATGAACATATGATACCACCATGAACAAAGTTTCAAATACTTCTTTTTTCCAAGGTCCACTTTGATTTTTTTCCAAGGTCCACTTTGATTTGTGTGCGTTAGCTGGGTTCCAAGCTAATCAAATGTCGGACTCCGACATCGACGATTAATCAGCTTTTGATAATCAAGGTGTGATTTAGAATTTTTGAAACAATATGTTTTGCTTAATTTATCAACCACTTGTTCCAATTTTTATCGTCTTGTGCCTTAATAAATTCTTTTGCCCTTCACAGTTACCAGCTACGGCGGTAACTCAGCAGCTAGATTATAATTTACAGGAAGCGGTGTTGATCTAATCAGGGCCGTCTTGACAAAATTCGACAAAGTTGAAGCCCTATATTCACACTTAGACCTTGCTATGGCAATTTTGTGTGTCATCCTTGCGCAGGGGAGATAGCTTTATTCTACCTCTTGTTATTGTGCCATGGCTGTATGTATAACCATAGATTATCCATATCTCCAAGAAATAAACGCCAAAATAAATTAAAAGTCGGTTTAGGTAGCAGCGATCATGAAGTTTTTCCCACCATTTCATTGGTCGTACTTCTTATACCATCGCAGCTTGTATATCTGGTATGCACTGTTTTGAATGTTTATTTCATATTTTTGACGGAAATTGAAAATAAATTCTACAATTCCGGAATATAACCTGTGTTTGAATCCGCTACCAGCAAAGTTATAAAAACACCTAAAATTATGCAAAAGGCTTAAGTAGAGTTTAGGGGCTATGCTCGGATTGACCTGTAATTTTTACCGCAGGTAGGTATTTGTAACCTGATTACGACAATGTGATTTCCAACAAGTGGTCCTATGATGGGGTTACTGGAACCGTTTTCGGAGAAATTCACGAAAATTGGTATTTTAGTATGAGTACTTTTTGAAAACCTAATAAAAATTTGAAAATGGACCCAACACTATTGCCTTTCCAAAATGGTGTGTTGATATCTTTTGTAGTTCCGAGATATTGACTTTTAAAGTCGTTACTTATGAAAGCAGTTCGAGTGAAGCCAAGTTTTGTGTCGGGTTTAACGATCTTGTTAATCGGCTTTGTTTTTAATTCGGTGTTGACTAAAAACTACTTTTAATTTAACGGCATTTTTTGCATTCCTTTTCACGAAATTAAATAGAAAGGGAATCAAGATGCAAAGAATTTCTACGAATGTGAGTGGAAAGGGAATACCTAAAAAGTACCGCTAAAAATTATTTAGTTTTTAATTAAATTTTGCTTTACAATGGAACGCGTCGAACTATTCGAAATATACGGAATTTTTTATTTTCAACGCACTGGATGTCGGAAGGTGCCCTTCGCCAACTGCAAAAGTGGGGATTAATTCCCAATGTTGGTGCGTTAAAATGCAATCGAGGACATTGCATGGATTTGTGTCCTTATGTTGATTGTTGTGATGGGTGGATTTGGAGGTAGGTAAATCATATTTTATATATTTCATGTGTCTAATTATAGGTGCGTCTGGTTACCCTAAAGTTTGTAACAATTGTTACAAATTGTTACTGGAAGTCGTCTGTTAACCCAAAAGTTCTGCAAAAGAGAGCGGTTGGAGAGAGAAATTTTGACAGTTCTTTCAGTGAGAGTTTGCAAATTCTTGCTGGAAAAATTTCTTCTTGCAATCGCTTGCAACTCTTCTTCTTCTCATTCATCGACATTCAATCAGATGTTTTCTATTGTTTGTTTATTTATTTTTGTGCTTTCAACTTGAAAATATTTTTTTGGAATTAGCAAGACTAATAGTTGGAGAACAACTTTACAAAATGTGAAAAACGTAAATGTTAATATGTAATAAGAAAATAAAAGACTATTTTCAATATTTTTATTTAAAAAACTTGTTAAATTAGTATTGCTTCCTTTGTTTTAATCTCTTATGGGGGACAAATTGGTTTGTTTTGACAAATCAGCTGATTAGTTGCAAGCTTCTGCTGGAATACCGTCTGTTTACTTTTCGCATTTTCCTTGCAAAAGAGAATAAAACTACCTTACTCTCTCAGAAAGAAGTTACTGGACAATTCCTGCAGGAAAAGTAACCAGACACACCTTATATTTATTTTTAGGTGTCAAAAGAAGCTTCGTGGCCGTCGAACAGGGAGATCCTTACGAAAAGGAACATTTTTTGATAATTCTCATCACTCTATTTGTGGATTGAGAGGGCCGGCCCTCTCACGACAAATCCAAAATTGGAAGGAAGGAGGAAGTTTCACCGTGGCCATGCTGTTGAGGTGCAATGGGTTTTCGGCGGTGTTGAACGTGAAACAAGGCGTTGAAGGCCGCTCGAAACAAATCTTGCTGCCCCTCATTAAAAAGTATATAAGACCCGGTTCTGTTATTATTTCCGATTTTTGGAAGGTAATATTATATAATATGTTGACATATATTATCTTACATAAATATTATATTTTTTGTAGGCTTATGACACCTTGGATGAGGAGGGGTACATCCATCAAAAAGTCAACCACTCGGAGCATTTTGTGGATCCCGAAACGGGGCACCATACCAATACTATAGAGGGTTTGTGGCGCCACCTCAAGGTAGCATATAACCGTAGAAATATATTTTTACAACGGTTATATACAGAAATTTATATTCTTGAGGTGGTGCAACGCTAACCAGAAAAATCCATTTGAGGAATTCCTGCGGTTTGCTGGAACACTTTACGACCCCACAAACACTAAAGTTGAACAGCAAAGGCAGGAATTCCAAATGAATTTATCGGAACCCTCTATAGTATTGGAGGTGAGTGCTTCTGAGTAGTCCGATAACTCCGAGGATGAGGACGCACCACCCAAAAAAAAGAAGGCGCATTTAATAAAAATTAAATTTATTTGTTTAAATTTGTTATTATTTTTTTCTTATTCTTAATTTAAGCTTAATTTAATTTTAATTTTGAGATGTTTTTGTTATTTGTTAATATAATTTGTAATTCACTTTTAAGAAATTAAAGTGAATTTAATAAAAAATTATAAATAGTTTTTAAAGAATAAAGGGTGTTTTACTTATAAAAGTTTAGAAAATTATGGATTGCGTAGCCAGTGTTGGACCTACCCCAGAGGAGATATCCTAGGCCCGGCCGAAGGCCGGTTACTTACGAAGATTACAATGTTTAGAAAAACTATAGCTCGCGTAGCCGTTGTTGGACATACCCCAGAGAAAATCTCAAGCCACGGCCAAAGGCCGCTTGCTTAAAAATACTATAAAGGTTAGATACATTTGACTGAAAACTCCAATTTAATCATTTGACTGGAGAAAATTACAATTTAATGGCTTCTATCACTCATATCTTTGGAACTACAAAATATATCAACACATATGATACCATTTTGTATAGTGTTGGCTATAATATAGCGCGTAGATTATAATACCCTTTAATGGGTCCATTTTCGAGTTTTTATGGATATTTCAAGCTTTCAAATGATACCAATTTTATAGATATCGGTTACGTAGAACCGGATAAAAACCGGAACTTTCTAGTCGAATAACCGTGTAACCGGGTATTCCCCCCACAAAAAAATTACATTGCCGCAATCAGGTTACAAATACCTACCTGTGTGGTTTCAGGTCAATCCGAGCAATAAACTCAACTTGCTCGAATCAAGAACTCGTTTACTATAACAAATATTAGTAAATTTCTATAAAATTTGCATTTTTTGTAAAAATGGATGGGTTACCTTTCACGAAATATTGAGATTTAAGTTTTTTACAATTTTATATTCGGCCTGTTCAAACTTAGTTTTATAACCACTCTCATTTTTCATAGCACTTCTTCTGTGATGCACATTTAAAAATATTTTAGTCGGGAAATTCAGTTACAACCTCTGTTTCCAAACATAAAGGTTTAGCAGAAATAGAGGTAGTGGATAAATATGTCCACTACGATTTACAAATAAAATCCGGAATATTTAGTATATAATGTATATATGGATTTATTTTCTTTTAAATATAGTACATACATTCTTAGGTTTATCTATGTTTGTGATATAAGAATGTTGTTGGTAATGCTCTCAACTGCTTGCAAATGCAATTGTTGTTTCAATTATTCATTACAATGAACATTTGCACGTAATTCAATGCTGTCTGTGTACCTCTAATATTACATTTTTTTTATAAATTTTGTAATTAATTAAAGTTTGACTTTTGAGTTCCACTCCAGAAACAGAGGGCGGACTGGAAATTATGGAGAACCTATCCGGCGCCTGTCAACAGTGCTGCCGTCTTGCCTTCTCTAGTATTTATAGCTTTTCACATACACACACATATACCTATTTGTATGTACATAATCCGTCAATATCAATGTTGGTTGGATTCGCTTTATTAAATTAAATAAATGGAAAATGTGTATTTATAGACGTTATATACCTATATGGTGGTGATGATGTGGGAATTGTTAATGGCGTGAGACGAGTGTACAAAATGGAAAGGTGGCTTAGATTGGTTAAAGAGAGTGTTGAGTGAATGATTCTTTGTTTAAAAAACAATTAGATTGAGTATAAAAATTATTTGTAAATCTTCCTTTAAATATAATATTCCTTTGAGTTTACAAGTAATGGGGGCCGGACGTGCTGATTTATGATAGTTTAGGTTGCACACAGTTCTAAAGTAATAATCGGATGTTGACAATAAAAGAGACTTAAATATTTCAACAATTATATTGGATTAATAATGCTAGTTGATTAATCAAGTGCTATCCAAGAATATAATTTAATTGCTGGACACACAACATCATGTTGCACTGGCAGTGGTCAAGCTATTAGAATTTGAGGGATGAGTTTTGGTTATGGTGTTGGTAGTACTGATTGTTGTTTCTATACCGACAGAAGCGTTCGGATTATTATGGTCAATGGTATTAGTGGGCGCTGGCGCTTTATTCTCCTCAGCAGTGGGCGCTGTTGATGTCACACTGGAAGCAGATCCAGCGGCAGACGTTGCAGTTGACGCATTTAGGGAATCCGCGGCAGGCGTTAAATTATTATTCTCACCCACATCGCCAATTCCATGTGAATTGAGCAATGCCGCATTGTCGGTTGGTAAATTTTCTGTATTTGAGCAGTTCGTGGCCAAATTCGGCGAAGTTGATCTAGTGTCCAGTTGGATGACCGAGTTGTTATTTGCATTTTCGATTGAAGCTCCAGACAGGGAAAGTTCGTCGGCTGAATCATCAGCGCTGTAATCAGTTTGCACGCCCTTTTCTTCCAACAAGTGTTCATTAAAACGTATGGGTCGACTAAACGTTCCAAATTGCTTTGAGATTTGTAGCAATTCTCGCAAGGTCTTGTTTTCTAAACGCAAGCGGGTTATCAGCTCCAAGTCACAATCATCATCTATTGAAGCAGCTTTCTGCATAACCGCAGCCATTTCATTAATCTTTTCCCTCTGATCGCGTATAATTTTCCAAAGTTTTTCGTTGTATACTTCTTTGAAATTAAGCTTACTTTCCAATACTTTGCTGCTTGTGTGTTCTCGATATTTTTGCATTATCAAATCCATTGCTCTTTCGTAATCCTCGATGCACACTTTAAGTTCACGGTTCTCCTTGAGAATTTCTGAGCTGTTGGCGTTTTGCTGTTGAATGCGATTGACCATTTCTACGTTGGTCTTATTGTTTGCAATGCGATTCAAAGAATCCACCTCGTCTTGGTACTGACGTAAACTTTCCACATAACGGTTATTGCCTTCGGCCTCAACAAGTAGGGCGCTACTTAGGGCGTCCAATTCTTTTACACGACTCGCCATTCTCTGGGCATCCATAATAAGTTGTCCAACCGTTAAGGCCATTTCTATTTGTCTAATATGCTTGTCTTTGCACAAACTCGCTCTCACTTTTTGCCAAATATGGTATTGCTTTTCTTTTCTCTTTGAGAATTTGTCGACAACGTTATAAACGAAAATTGATCAAATTAATAATTTTTTATTTTTCAAGGGAACAAAAGACACTAGGGACCTACAAATCGATTTTTTACTAATCGGCTGATTACAAACACAGATTCATGTATCGACATTTAACAAATCGTTAAGCACTGGGAAATTTCTGCCATGGTCAAACGAATATAAAACCATGGTAGTCACCTCGACTGCAGGTAGTCGCCTCGACACAACAGCTGGGACAACGAACTGTCCAACAGATTTTGGAGTTGAAAATGTTGAATGAAAAATTATCGACATTTGTAACATTGGCATTTGATTGACGTCGTATAATGCCATGTTCTCATTACACTTTAATCATGTTGTTCGCTCTCAGAATTAGGTACACGAATTAACCCGTTCATACGGCACGATTCGTAATTCATATCAATATAATTCCTTTCTTCAAAAAATTTTATGTTGGTTTTAATAGAAGAAATTATTGTTTTTCTCCCCAAGATTTATTATATCATTAATTTTACAATTTTCCTTCTTTTTTCAACACTTTGTGTAAATGTTGACATTTTGAACATATTTTTTTTTTTTTATTTTTAAATTCTGCTGAAGAGACACTTGTTAAACATTTTTTCTGCCGATACAAAATTTTTGAAAATATTGCATTATTTGTTTCGAACATATAAATTTTTACAGTCTAGAAACGCCGAATATAATATAGTAATTATTTAGCAAATGAGTCTACCTCGACTGTTCCGCTATGCAACAGAATTTTAATTTTTTGAATATCACTCCAAAAAATAAAAACCTGCATGCATGGTACAATAAAATCAAGGTAGGGCTATGATGCCATACAATTTAAAATTTTTTTATTTTGTTGGCTTAATATGTCAACTTTATTTGTTTATGTGTGTGTATTCTTTTCAATAATAAAAAAAGTTCAGAAAATATTCAAAATCGGGTGTTTTCAATATGTTTATTGCAACGTATGGATCGACGATATCTGCAGTTTTTGTTGCGAAATAATTTTTTCAAAGTTAGCCTACCTTGTACCATGTATGCATGTGTTTTGACATTACAAGGCTACTACCATGGTAGAAAAATACAGGTAGATGCATCAACGCTTGGGAACATTGATATGTCGAAAATTTTTTAATTTCTTTTCAAATATAAGTAGATTTCTATATGTTTTCTTATTCGACGTCATTCGGAGGATATTATAATACACGTTTTTCAACAATTTTTATAAATTTAAATAATTTTTCATTCAACATTTTCAATTCCAACTTTGGTTTGACAGTTCATTGTCCCAGCAGTTGCGTCGACTGTTTATTTTCGAAGGCTGATGGTAATAGCCATGGTACAATCAAGAAAAGGTAGGTCAACTTTGAAAAAATTGCAAGTATAGAGGTCTACCTGTTTGGCTTGTAATGTCAGAATTAGTATCAAAATAATAAAAAATCAAACAACTTGTTGCATTTATTTTGAATAAATAATTGAAAACCGCGATAACTGATTGAAAGGTCAACACTTATTTTCAAAATCATGTAGTATATATCTCTAAAGGATTATTTCGCTACAAAAACTCTAGATTTTGTCGATGCATACGTTGAAATAAACATTTTGAAAACACCCGAAATTAAATATTTTCTGAACAATTTTGTTGTTATTGAAAAGAAAACCCATACATAAACAAATAAAGATGACATATTAAGCCAAGAAAATAAATAAATTAAAATCATATGTACCATGCCTACATTCACCTACAGGTAAATTATTTGCATAATAACACATTACAACCATGGTAGAAAAATACAGGTAGATGCATCAACGCTTGGGAGCATTGATATGTCAAAATTTTTTAAATTTCTTTTCAAATATAAGTAGATTCTTATATGTTTTCTTATACGACACAAATCGTGGGTTGTAAAGATATGCATTTTTCAACAATTTTTACAAATTTAAAAAATTTTTCATTCAACATTTTTAATTCCAAAATTGGTTTGACAGTTCATTGTCCCATTGTCCCACTAAAATAACCTTTTTCGCGAAAAATTAAAAATTTTAATTTTCAATGGTTAAATACAAATTAGTTGTGTTCCAGAACCTACAAATTAGTACTAATTCTGCTACAACGCCTTCCCGTACTCCAAAAACTAGCAAAACTTGCAGCTCTCTCGAGAAAAAAATGGCGCTGAGTGGTGCACATTTCTGCTTGTTTTAGCTACATGAATTTGGCCGAGCAGAAATGTGCATATTGTAAATTTTACATTTAATTGGCAGGGCTAACAAGGTTGAAAAATGTATTGATACATTTCAATGTTCGCGCGTCACAACAAAAATAAAGAAAATGATCAACTTAAAAACTAAAGGAAAACCTAATATTTGTCGTGCAAAAAACAAAAAGAGAAATTATGGAGCAACTGATGTATTCACTTTTGGATGATTCCAGCAGTGAAGAGGACTGGCTGAATGAGGAATCAGATTATTAATTATTATTATAGGTCGTTAATTTTAACTAATCGTCTTCAATACTCTTTTTAAATTTTGGCGTCCTTTTCAGAAAGGTTTCAGCAGTCCGATTAAGACAGCTTACTTTTGGAATTTTGACATTTTATCACATTTCTGCTAATTTTCCGTTCCCTTTTTTTGAGCACACCTAAATGAGAATGACATTTCAAACTGTTTTCTCTTCTGCTAGTTTTACTACTAAAAAAGTACTCGAACACAACTATTATTATCACTTCAGATTTGGTCCTCTTTTATTCTTTCTACCAATTCCCATATTTTTCTACTTTTGCAACCAATCTAAACATACATGACAAATAAAATAAATTCAGCTTTTATTTTCACAATATTGTATTGTATTTGTAATTTTTGCATTATCAAAAATATCAAACATCTAATTTTTCTCACAAATCCTAAACAACACATATGTGGTACACTACCGGTTCATTATTTTTTAATGTTCCGCCATGTGGTACACTACGATTTTGTAGTGCTCCGACTGCGGAACACTACGATTTCGTAGTGCTCCGACTGCGAAACACTACGATTTCGTAGTGCTCCGACTGCGGTACACTACGTTTTTTAGTGCTCCGACTGCGGTACAGTACGATACTCGTTGTGCTCCGGTACAGTATCACTAAAATATTTTTTAAGGGTTGTGCTCCGGTACGGTACATTATCTTAGTGTACTACTCCACCTCGGAACGGTACGGAACACTACGGTACAGTAGCATACTGTTTATTTTCGAACGCTGACTACTATAGCTCAATAAGAAATGTTGCTCAACTTCAATGAAACTAGAAAAATGCAACTCTGTGCTGGAGTCTTATAGCGTCAAATAGACTTTTAAATATACATTAGTTGGTTGTGTTTATTTTTCATTTTTTAACAAACATCTTATATTGGGGAAAAACCGCGAAACAAGTATGATATTTTGGGGTTATTCTCCAAGATTGAATCTAAAATAGTAGAAAAATACAGATTTATTCCAAAACTGTACAATGAGTTGCCCATTATCGTCGTAAATATCCATTTATTTTGCAACCAAAGATATGAAATATTATTGTGTTTTTTACTCAAAACAATACACACAAATACACAAAATGTGCATACGTTTTGACAGAATAACGGCACCAAAAGAAAAAAATATAAATATCTTTGTTCTACCTTCTGTAATTATGCCATGGCTACTACAAGAAAAAATTATAATCATGTGATTTCTTTGCCCTTCTGAAAAATATATTGTATATTGGGTAGAACTATGAACTCATCGCTAAATATTGAAAGCAATTATTAACAACCATGAATAAGGAAAACGTAAGTTAAGAAGAAAAATAAATAATTTGTTATCGTTTATTCCGGTTTATTCACGATTGAAACTATTTTCCTACTAATTTGAATGGCAAATCTGGTTTTATTCTTCTATGCGGTCTCATTTAACCATTGATTTTGAAAATGCTTTGTTTTTATTTCTTACATCAATAAATAAAGGCAAATGACTGAAGGAAAACGAGCTAGAAACAAATCAGGCGGTAGATCTGTAATACCTTTTTATTGTACATTCGTCTGCAACTGATTCCCCGATTGTCAAATTAATTTGAATTAGATTTGGCAACTCCAGTGCATATGGAGTGTATTTGTTGTAAAGAACGAACCGTAAACAACAGGGAAAAAATTTTGCTCTGCATAATAAGTAATTAATTAAGTAAAAAATACTTATTAGAACTAATCCAACACACATAATCAAGAGAATGAAATGAAAATCTGAATAAGCAGTGGATCGTATATATATTGAATCTCGTGTTATGTTGCGGCATATTTAACTACAAAGGATAAGGCTTTGAATTTTATAAAAAAAAACTACGGTCGAGGGTTATTTTTGCGTGTTGCGAAAGGTAGGGGCGACTTCAATGGTGTTTCCCTGGCAGTCACGAAATAATGCTATTAATCCCGGCACTACGAGCCGATTGCTGGTGGCTAAGGCATTTCTTATTGGGACATTTGCCTTTGGAACTAGATGTTGTGATGCAACAGCCACAGATATTGCTCTCGATGCCAAGGCTACATTGACGCATAGGATTGACAGTTTAAATCTTTTGGTCTACACCTTCCTGCTTACCTTGACGGTCTTAACGATATGGTTGTTTAAGCACCATCGAGTTTCCTGGCTCCATGAGACGGGCCTCGCTGTGATATATGGTATGTACTGATTGCTATAGTATGTAGTAGGGTTTAAATGCAAAAAAAAAAAAAAAAAAAAAATGACGACATTACATGCATGTGATCCCTTTATTTTGCATTGTCAGCATTTTTTATTTTTTAGTATGCAATTGGCGACCATAGCTATAAGCCTGATTTAATTTCGCAACAGAAAGTGTTTTTTTTTTCTTGTGAAACTATTTCCTATTGTTACAGAATATAGAAAGAATATTTGTGTACACATTTCGGAAATGTACCATCTGTTTACTGTTAATATGGACTGCTACAACTGTGCCATAGAAATAAAAAAGCTATGGCCATATCTTAACTAATGGTGGCATCGAAAATAATCAGTTGATTGATTGTTTTATGATGAACACTCGACAACATATCTACTACGAACTAAATACCCATGTTTGCGGATATGAATGTATGCGGATATTGTTGTAGAAAATTTCCAGTTTTTCTATAGAATAAAAAAATTAATAAATACAAACTACTATATTTTTACAACTACCTGATAGTCTTTCAAAATGTAGCTATCCGACTTATTGTGTTTTAGGGTTGACATGCGTTAAAATGTTGAGGAAGAATCTTTAAATTTTAAAAGTAATATATATTCTAAGTTATTAGCTTTAGTGTTGCAATATATTTGTTACATTACTATAAGATTTTATTTAAAGGATACCGTCAAATACAGGGATATAAATTGCTTGACAAGTTTGACATCTGTTAGATTACAATTTAGAGGAATATATATTCTATTACTTTATTATCATAATTTTAATAAAAGTCTCTATGGGCCGATTCGAAGCTTATAGCTATTTTATATATCAATTCGATATAATTAACATATTTTCATTTTTGAATTGGTTATTATGTTTGTTGTTGGTTATTATGTTCACTTTAGTTCTTTATTATTTTTGTTAACTGAAGTTTTGGCTAGGTGCCTTTTAAAATTCGTTCTATAAATTTCTACAAATAAAAATTATAATTTAACATTTTTGCACATGCAGGACTAATTGTTGGTGCGGCAATTCGATATTCCGGTTCATCAACACCCTTAGTGCACTTGGAAGTAGAGCCGGAATCTAATTCAACATTCAACCAAACATTGCCACCTGATACGCTATGGCTAAAAGTAAATTCAATACAAAATAAAAATCTGACGTACAGAAACATTTTATATATTCTCCAATCTTCTTTTTTATTAGTTTCCGGGGAAATTAACTCCAAACGGCAGTGATGCAGTTGAAAACAAAACATATGCCTACACTTTTCGTAGTCAAGTTTACGATGTAGTCGAGAACGAAATTGATTTAAAAGCTACATTTGATCCTGAAATATTTTTTAATATTATTTTACCACCAATAATATTTCATGCTGGGTACAGCCTAAAAAAGGTAAACTAATAAACTTTTAAGTAGATGAATTCATTTTAAAATATCTTTTATAGAAATATTTTTTCCGCAATTTGGGCGCAATTTTAACATTCGCCATACTGGGTACTACATTATCGGCGTTCCTAATCGGTGCTCTTATGTACGGTTTTGTGAAACTGATGCCAACATACTTGAGTAGCAGTTTCACATTTCTGGACACGCTGTATTTCGGAGCGTTGATATCACCAACAGATCCACTAACAATTCTGGCGATTTTTCACGATTTAAACGTTGATGTGAACTTGTATGCTTTGGTGTTTGGTGAATCTGTTTTAAATGATGCTGTAGCAATTGTTTTGAGTGGGTAAGTAGTTACTAAACATCTATTTTACAAGCTACTAATGACAATTCACTTTTAGTGCGATACAAAATTATGGAGAACATTACTCTAGTACTGGAGAGTTTGAAACATATGCCTTTTTCCGAGCGCTAAGCGACTTTTTTGGTATATTTATGCTGTCGTTACTGATCGGCGCTCTAATGGGCTGTTTTACAGCATTGATATCCTTTTTAAACAAATTTCCATCTATGTTTGCGTCAAAATTACCCTTTACTATTGGCTACAATGCAAGCTAGTGTCGTACACACATAATATAATAATAACTGCATTGGGTCACAATTAGCACATGTAATGTAGTTGTTGGAAAATATGCTACGACAGGCGTTAAAATAGCTCTTTCAGCTTTTGTATTTTAGGACTATCGTAAAAACTATATTGCGCCTTAAGCATAGCCCCTAAAAATAGAGAGCGACGAAAGTCAACTTCGTACGTGCAACTTTACTATTGAATAGGAAGGGGAATAAAAACTAAAAATTTGCAAGGTTTGCTTATGTTACGAACGATGTATCATATAATTATGTGGAATACTGCACTAACAATTGTATCTACATTTTTTGGAGCTGGACAATTACATTAAAAAGTTATTAAGCTCAGAGATTAGCTGCGTAGTTCTTTTTGACAAACTAATCAGTTATAAATTAACATAAAGCTAAAAATTCAATTCATAGGTTTTGCCGAATTCATTTGTCAGCTCACTAGATAACAGGCTATTTATTCGTGTTTGTGTCCATTGCTATTGTACGGAGCGCATACGAAGTAGTTTTCCGTTTGTAAATCATCGACACAATTTTTGCAACCCCTTAAGGCAAATATATTCTTGATCTGCTTAAAATTTTAGCACCAAAATTGAAATATGGGCAGTCGCAGTGCGCTGGTGCCCCGATTAAAATGGGAAAATTCCACATTTTATATATACTTTGGGAAATACTTCCTCATTTTGCAATGTGTTTCTATTCGTAGTTGTTGCAGATGGTGGGTGAACTCCGAGAATGGCATTCATCCTGCAATTGCTAATGGCATCTGTGTATGAATGGCACTCAGACCTGCCTGATAGGCTTCTTGATCTAGAGGCTCTCTTATAGCGATGGACCTCCCTCTTTAGATCATGTATGTCCTTCCTGACACGCCTGGGTGGGGGATGATGACTCCCACGATAAGATCCAAGCAGGTACTGCAACGAAAGCATATTGTTATGGGAGGGTCTTTCGCCTCCTCATGTAGATGGTCCTCTGGTGCCATGAGGTGGTACCTTGTCGCAGTTCTCAGGGCAGCATTCTGGTAGATCTGGATGTGCTTCCACTGCGTAGCAGTAGTATTCGCAGACCACACTGGAGGCGCATAGCTGGCCACAGACCGACCTATCGCGTTATAAGAGGTCAGCAAGGTTTCCTTGTCCGCACCCCAAGTGCTGATAGATAGCGCCTTAAGGACCTTGTTCCTACTTTTCATCTTGTCGCAGATAGCTGTGGCTTGCGCGGACGACTTGAACATGCTGTCGAATGTGACCCTAGGATCTTGGAGTAGTTCGTGATCGGTATTAAATTTCCCTCGATCACATTCAGCTGTATTCTTATCTCCGCAGACCATTTGGTAAAGAGTATGCGGCAAGCTCCTCAATGTAGAGGTTCAACCTTTCACATATGTCATCAACCACTGGGTCCGATACCATGAACGTACAATCATCGGCATACGTAACGATCTCTATCCCGTCTGGAGGGCGAGGAATTCCAGAAAGGTTAAACAGTTTAGGAGATATCACCCCACCGTGCGGAACTCTTTGTTTCACTCTACGAACTTCAGAATTCTTGTTCCGGAATTCCACGTACGACTGGCGTCCACACATATAGGTGAATATCCAACGTTTCTCTATACATATCAAACAGTGTGGCATGATTGAAGTATATAGGTGGCTTCGAGAGGTTGAGAATTTTCGTCAGGTACTTAACTCCAGTTGTTTTTTCATTACCATTGAGATTCCGTCTGGGCGCAACGCTTGGGATGACTTAGCTTTCCGGATGACATTTGCAACATCAGCTGTCTTAAACAGTGTCGGTCCCTCCTCGGCGGAAAGAGATCTGATGTAACGTAGAACTTTCGCTTCGCCCTGTCGCTCTCGGGTTGCTCGATAAATTTTCGGAATGCCACAACTCATGGTGGGCATAAAAATCCTCTAGTACCAGGCGTTTATTGCGTACCAAGAACGAGCCAATATCTGGCAAATAACGCGGTTCACAGCGGGATATACACAACAACCGCCTTTACCTCCGCAGTACCACATTTGACTGCTACCCCATACATTCCATGTATGTGTCACTAGAGACTAGCTCAAGCGAGATAGATCTGTACTGAACAGAATGGTGTAACGGGAACGCTAATCCCCCACCTCCACTTCTGGTGCGATCCTTCTTCAAAACGATGTAATCATAAAAGCGTTTCCTTCTTCGCTAATATTCCTCCGATTCATTAATTCCAATATTTTATCTATTTTGCCTGGAAGTCCGTTGCAATTGAATTGCAAGAACGATGCATAATCCGGTGTTGGAACAGCAACATGTGACGTAAGATTCTGCGGTATTGCTTGCTGTTCGGAAGACTGCGGTGGGGTTCCATACTCCGATGAGGACGCCGTCGCAACATAATCCCTGTTGTCACAAACTACTTACTCCGCAACAATTTGTCAAGATGGTTTTTATTTAAAAATAAAAGTAATTCTGGGAATAAATACAAAGTTTAAAATGTAATATGCTCTACGCTCCTTAGATGCGTCCGCTCTCGGTCAATGCTCAACGACGACTGACTCATAAACTCATTTTGATAGTTGACAATTCGGCCTCTCCTGACTCTTCGTCCCTCCTGGGCGAACCATCATCAGACTCATCTTTATCTTCGATTTCGAGACTTGGATCACCATAGCACCAGGGCTTCATATGATCGGTCGACATAACACCGCAATATTTCCTTTGCTTCAAACTTAAATCCGGCAGATCCTCTACCAGATAACGATCGTTTCCGATAATTTTCGTGACGATGTATGGTCCTTTATACCGCGCATCCAACTTATGCGATTCTCCTGTAGGCTGCGGTACCGTGTCTATCACCACCAAATCGCCTTCCTTGTACTGAGTTGGCTTGGAATGACGGCTGTCAAATCTTGCTTTCCATTTTTCCTTTTGTTTCTGGATGTTAGCAACAGCCTGCTGTTGAATTACCCTAACATCGAAATTCTCTCTTTCTTCATCACCAACCGCCTGGATAATTCTATTGTAACTGACATCTCTGAGACTAAAGTTGAATATTAAGTCATTTGGACTGAACTTTGTAGTCGCATTCAGCTGCGAGTTAATACTCCACTGTATCGTCGTTGTCTCAGTGTCCCATTCTTTTGTATCACCTACTAGACATTTCAACGCATTCAAAACTGTCTGGTTGATCCGCTCGGCTTGGCCATTGGCTCTTGGTGTTCGGACTGCTGTTTGTACATGTTGTATTCCGTTGTATTCCACAAACTGTTGGAATTCTTTAGACGTGAACGCCGTTCCCTTATCCGATACAATTCTTCGTGGCTGTCCGAAAATCGACATAACTTCTCGCAGCGCTGTTATAACCGGGGCAGTCTTTGTATTCCTGGTTGGCTTTATAATGGTGTACTTACTGAACGAACAGACAATCAAGAATACATATTGATTTCCTTTCTTACTTTTTGGGAAGGGACCCATGTGGTCGATGTTGATACTTCTGAATGGAATTGGTAGGACTTCCTCAATATGTAGTTCACCCTCTGCCTTGCCTCCTTTTACCTTGTTGTAGCAGCATTCCGGACATGACTGAATGTATGATTTTACGTAACGTCTCATTCTCGGGAACCAGAAATCACGTTGAAGCCTTTGGAGAGTTTTCTCTTCACCGAAGTGTCCCAAATCATCATGACAAGCCTTAGTTATTCGCCACCGGACTCTTTCTGGAATCACCATACGTTTCATATTGTTGACTTTGCGAAATAGCCTCCCATTTTCTATTACATAGTCCGCTTTGATCTGCTTAATTTCATTTGCCTCGTTTTGCAAATTACCATTGAGAACTTCAAAGATGTGTTTCAGCTTCTTATCCGACATTTGCAGTTGATAGACCCAGTCGTTAATGTTCGTTGTGAGTGCCAGAACATTTTCCACCACTTCAACAATAGATCCACCAAAACCTTTCATTCTTTTTGACGTTACTTCCATATCGCAACCCTCTGGAACTACAGCTTTCCGCATTAAGGTAAAGTCGCTTCCAGTGTCCACAAAACCTTCATATGTCTTACCATTGACCGTAACATCTTTCATAACCGGTGGGCAGTAATCCTTAGACTCTTCTGTCATTGCTGCCACAGTTGTACCTTTACCTTTGCATTGCGATGCATCGTGACCAATCTTTGCACATTTACTACACTTCGGCTTCTTCAATGGTTGTGGGCAACTAGTTGAGATATGCCCAAACCTGTTACAATTGAAACATTTTACTCCCTTGGTTGGCGCTCCACCTGAGACACTTACGGTTTTGTCATCCTCGTCATTCTTTGTTTGCTTCCTTGCATACGTTTGTATGGTCAAATTCTCCAACGACCTTAATAATTCACTACATGTCTGCGGGTTCATAGCTAAAAGTGTTCTTGTTAAGCTGCTATCATTGAGACCATTTATGATGTACGACAGTATTGATGCCTCATCTACGCTTCCTCTTTTCCCTATGGCCAACATTGCGTAATAATATTCCACCAAAGACTCATTCGAGTTTCGTTTCCTAGCTATAAGTTCACGATGAATGTCAGCAACACTTACTCGACTTGGGAAATCCTTTAAAAATTGTTGTCTGAACTCTTTCCATGTTTCAACCACTGGTAAAGCATCTATCCACATTTTAGCAACACCACTCATTTTATGATGAACTGCAAACAAAGTTGTTTCATCTGACCATCCATGAAGCCTTTGCAACGTTTCAACCTTGTCAATGAATTGGACTGATGTAACATTTCCTTTAATTGGATCGAAGTCTGGTATCATTACTATGTAATCCTTTAAACAACCAGATGTTCCGGAACCAGATTGTCTTGATATTACTTCAGCTGGAACTTGCTGTTCTGTATCCCTTGAATTTAACCCTGCATTTGACGTAATAGCCCTTTCTGTTGAAAGTGTTGTTAACTGTTGCACACTTCTTGCTAGAGTCAACATTATATCCTTTAGCTCTCGCATTTGACTTGTTAGAGAATCATCACCCGTCTCAGCTTCATCAAATCCATGGAAATCCTCCTGTGACTCTGAATCTTCAACTTCCACTTCGTCATTTCCATTGCAAGCCATGAGTCTAGCAATTTTCTCGGACTTATTTCCTGTTCGTGGTAAGCTTCTTGCCAGTAATAATTTGTCTAGCTCCGCAACCTTTAACGAACTTATTTTCACCTTCATACTTTTCCTTGTGAATTTTCCTTTTTAATTCGTTACTTCAGCAAATCTAGAACTATTCCTTTTTTTTTAGAAGCCGCACGCCCTAAAAATATACGTTAACTTTTCCCTTTTTAAACTTCTTCTTCGGGGTTCCCCTCTTTATGTCTTGCTTTCAATCTCCTTGATGTACTATCGTTGTCCTACTCACTCACACTTTTGAGTATACCTTTGTACATTCTCCTTTGATTGATGCTTTCTTCTTTGCTCTCTTTGAGCACGTTACACACTCTCACTAAACTCACTCGAACTTTTGAGTTTAGGTGCCTTTGCGTGGTTTCTCCTTTGGTCGTCGTTGTTGCTTTGCATTGAGCTCTTCACTACTACATCACTTTGACGCCTTAGTTTCTCAGCTCTTTGAGTATTTTTCGGCAATTCTTATCCAAAATGATGAAATTCTTGTAGATTTCTGTTCTTATCCCACTTCTGATTCTGTCAAGATGGTTTTTATTTAAAAATAAAAGTAATTCTGGGAATAAATACAAAGTTTAAAATGTAATATGCTCTACGCTCCTTAGATGCGTCCGCTCTCGGTCAATGCTCAACGACGACTGACTCATAAACTCATTTTGATAGTTGACAAATTCTTGAAGTGCATCCATTCTTTACATCCATTACATCGCACCGAAATAGATCTGTGGTGGGCGACATTCTGAAAAACCGGGCAGAACCAATGTCTGGGGTTTCCTCAACCCCGGCAGTGACCAATAAAATCCGGAGCAAGCATTCCGCGATATGCTGGTCCCAACGCAAAAATAGACAGCGGGTTGGCAGCCACTGACCGAAACTGTGATGTCAATCGGGTCAATCCGGTATCGTGGGATTGTTGCTATTCGTTTGCATTGCTCATTGTTAGAAAAACCTTTTTAGTGATTTCTTATCCAGCAATGCTGTACATTTTTAATGCTATTGTCGTTTAACCAAAATTGTTAAAAAGAGATAATTTCAAATTTCAAAAATAGTTTTGTGCTTTTAGACCAAGAATTTTGAAAATTTGCACTATAGAATGTATTTGAGCTTACGTACTAAAAGTAAAACGCTTGATTATTAGGTCTAGATTTGACAGCTATTTGATCTGTAGTTTCGTTTAAAGCCGCTAAGATGTTCAGCAAAAAATTATTTCATACAAAATTTATTTATTAAATTAAATTAAATGGTCCTCAAGCTCTTGTAAAGGGGTCGAAAATAGCAGGAAGTGTGAAAATTTGTACCAAAATTGTGGTCAAAACCATCAAATACTAAAAAGAAATTAGTTATTTGTCTATATAGTTTTTTTTCAGAGGAGTTTCCCGACAGCAATATAGCCGTATACGTATAAGTAAACCTATTAAAAATACTGTCATATTTGTGGAAAATTTGGTGATAAGTAACTGAAGAATTGGGAGTCGGAGAAATAACAATAAAATTACGATTTGCAGTTATAAATGCAGTTCAATTTGTTTGTATATAGTTTATACGATTTTTGTATTACCAATGTTTTATTCCTTAACTCATTCAACACTTGACCAAATTTACTCGTGTTCGAGATTTTCCCCTATTGGAGTCGGCGCTTTTTGTTCTCATGTCGTACAGTACCTTTTTAATAGCAGAAGCATCAGAACTCACCGGCGTGGTTGCCGTCTTGTTCTGTGGAATATGCCAGGCGCATTACACTTTCAACAACTTATCCGAAAATTCCCGAACACGAACTAAGGAAATCTTTGAACTGTTAAACTTTTTGGCAGAGAATTTTATATTTTCCTACATAGGCGTTTCCATGTTCACATTTCCTAAACACCATTTCGATGCCGTTTTTATTATAACTGGATTTGTAAGCATGCCGTCTCGTAATCATGTATTCATATGTTTCATAATTTTTAAACAAATCTTTTAGATATGTGCGGCAATTGGAAGAGCTGTAAATATTTATCCTTTGTCGTGGTTATTGAACTTAAATAGAAAACCAAAAATTTCTTCCAATTTTCAACACATGTTATTCTTTGCCGGTAAGTTACAATATGTTGTGTCGAAGATCTATGGAATTAATTATTAAATCTTGTTCTAGGGCTACGCGGTGCTATGTCTTTTGCATTGGCTATACGTAACACATTATCAGAGGCTAGACAGACGATGTTGACGGCAACATCTCTAATTGTAATTTTCACAGTTGTGATCCAAGGTGGTGCTGCTAACTTTTTTCTTAACTGGCTTCAAATACCGTATGTCAATCCCAATTCTTCAAATCGAATGTATACGAGTTATTAACGATACCTTCTTCCTTTTAGAGTGGGAGTGGATGAGGAAATCGAACAGCTGAATAATTATCAAGTTCGCAGTGTGAGTATTTGTTGTTCATGATACTGTTTTTTCTGTTGTTAAAGTTTAATTTTAATGTTTTTAACAAAATTTGTATATATTAAGCTGAGCATCCAATATTGCCTTTGTTTTATTAAATTCAGTTTTTTTGTGCTTCCGTTTCTTTTTCAAATTTATCAATATTATCACATTTGCCATTTTTAAACATATTGTATTTTATTCTTCAATATTTTTGGTTAATTTTAATTACTATGAAAGGTCTACAATTCTATGGAAAATACAACAAATATGGTATGTGTAAATAACTATCATTTTTTCGTTTAAATTAAACATTTCATTCGTAACATTGCAATTTTATTAGGCTGTGATATATTTGATCTTCATAGTCTTACCGTTTTGTATTCGAAGTCGAAAGTATTGAAAGTGGAAAGTTTGTATATTATTTTGATTCATATTATCGATTTTCATAAGAATATTTTTGATTTTTCAGTGGATAAAAGATTTTATTTTTTGATTAACAAATTGTTATCCCAAGGATAAACTAAACAAAGCATTTTTTAAAAATGATTCCTTTAATTTTGATTTACGGAAATAATCTAAGCGCGGCTTTTGTATCTGACGACCAATCACGTTGTATATTTTAATCAAATCGCAATAAGGTTGCATATTTACTAAAGTTTTTTACGTACTCAAAATATCTTGTAATCTTTAAACAAATCTATGACTATTCGTGTTAAATGGTACCTTTTAGGTTAGGCAAGGCATGTTGTTTTATAATATAGACCCGATAATATTTATTTCTTATGATGCTCATAATTTATCTAATTGATTACACCGTTTGCTTAAACATTCGTATAAGAGATTTAATTTTTATTTTCCAATCTCTCGCATTTGCTTTTTGCAATTCTTACACGGCACCGATTTATTTTATTTATCAAGGCGTTTTAATGGACCGATGCGTCGTCTATATCAGGTTCGTAATTGATTGAAAGATTTATAGGCGCAAAGAGCGATGTCATTTCAGATACATATACACATAGGATTCAAGTGACAATAGATAACATTTTAACTTCTTTTATAAAACTATCTCTTCCAATTTAATCGGAACTTATTAATCCAATTCAAGGCACATTTAGCAGTTGACAAGGTTCGATTTACTTTACTTAAAATATAATTGTAATGTACAAGGTATATTAGATTACATTGTATGGCACGAAGTGTGATTCTCTTAAACTCATAATAATAGGCCTAAATATCAACAGAGTTGAAAAGTCTGAGTTCTTAAATTACCCAAGCTAACCGTAATTGTGAAAAGAGAACTTTTAAGTGTTTTCTGACTTTTGTTTGAAATTTTTATTTTAAACATAGATATTTCATTTAACATTCAGAACTTTTCTTTCGAAATTCGTATCTACTGAATTTATGATTAGAAAAATTATTAACTAATAAACCATTTAATTTAAGACAACCTCAATGGAAATTCAGAAATGTTATTTGAAATTCGGAAGATTTCATCTATAATTCAGGATATCTTTAAACAAAGTTTCTGTAGAAATCTTTCAGAGAAAATTATTTATGTGCTTTGCTGATTATTGATGTTGGCATATTTCAAAAATATTTTTTATTTTATTCTAAAAAAATTCTGAATTTTATATGAATATCAAATTCAAATCTAAATTCGGAATAAAAAATGGATAATCAAATTAGATAATTCAAATTAGATATTCTGAAATCAAATTCTGATTTTCAATATCAATATTATGCATTTCAAATAAACTGAATATCAAATGAAATATGATAACTTTTAATTCAAATATCAGATTTTAAAAAAAGAATTTATGAGCTCCAACTGTTTTGTTTGTTTGTTTTCTAATTACAGTTGGAAATAGTGTCAATGGTTAAACATTATTTCTTGCTTGAAAACGCTTTATGGAGTACCCTTTAGGGCATTCAATACATTTTTCAATATTAAAAAGTTGTGAGCTGTAAAAATAAATTTTTGTTCATCTTCCATTGTTTTCTTCTGACCCATGCAGCATACAATAATTTACCTTATAGAAAAATATGTCATACTACGATATTATTTAAATCAGATATCATCGCTCACAGACACATTTGAATGACCAATGGCTTAGACATAAGATAAGTTTTTGCACATTTAATATTTTTGCCTCTATTGAAATCTTTACCCTTGACTCTTCGTATGATATGCTTTTTTGTTTGCAAATATTTTATCGTAGTGAGAATAAATAAAATATTTAAAAATAGTCTGAAACTTATTTGCAGGACTGTGGTGATATCGATACAAACCCTGGAAGCAGCAGACGAAATGAAAAAGCCGTACTTGCCAGGTTATGGGGTAGTTTTGATACCAAGTATGTAAAAGTTTCATTGGATCAATTTTACTAAAATATTAATGCGATCTAATTGAATTTAGATATATGAAACCACTGTTGACTCACTCGAGGCCTACTTTGTTGGAAACTTTGCCAGTTTGTTGTAATCCCGTAGCTCGCCTTTTAACAACAACTGAGCAATTAACCCAGGTAAATGACAATATTAATTTAATACAGTAATACATAGGCCACACACATTGTTCAAAATTAAGCCATAGATTGTTATGACATATTTTAGTTATGCTTTAATGTTTCCGAATTACATACTATCAGAGAGGTTTTTAGTTCGCTATTGTTCCTGCCATCTTCCTCGTGATCATTGACCATATCATTATTCGTAGAAATGCAATTTAATTGTAAATGTTACCCGCATACAATCTATTTTTCCTGCCTAAACTATTTGTAATTAAAATAGATTTAATTTACATTTTCATTTTCAATACTCTTCATTTATATCATTTATATAATACCATCAATTGGTTATATATGACTAATACGAACGTCATTTACATTCTGTAAAATCTCTTCACACTCATTTCAAATCCAAACTTATTACATTAGGATGGTGATTTGCGTCGAACAGATTCGGATTCTGACATTTGCATAGATGATAGCGATTTAAGTCGAAACCGAAGTGGAAGCGGTGGTGGCGGCTCTGGAGACCCGCGACGAAATTCAATCAATCGTGTAAGTATACAGTTTATGGCAAATAATCGTAGTACCTTTGCTAGTTACAGGAACTGTGATTGTGATTGAACTTTAAATGCAAAGAAAAAAAAACAACAAAACAAAATTATAAACTTTATACTTCATATGTTTACAATTACATCTAATACTACACCGAACCAGTACTAGTCATTGAACTGTTTGAAACGCGTACCAAAGAATAATTACACACACATGTACTAATGTTATCATTGACTATATCTATTATCTACAAGTGTTATTATTATATTATTTTTTTTTGTTATCTTTACAATTATATATTTTATTAGTATTATGTTATTTAAATTGCTATTTGGTTCTTACAATTTCCTATTTTTAAATTGGTTACAATGTGAAATTTTAAATACACTGATATACTGTAAATATGTATGTAAATAACTAATTTTCCAAAAAAAACCTCTACATTTCCTATAACACAGAATATTTGTTGCATGTTGTTGTAATCTGAAACAATAAATTAATAAGACTTATGAAACAAAATAACCATTTGTTTAACTCTTCTTTTTTTCTTCTTTTCCATAACTGTAATTTTGTTCTATGTTCTCGTTCTAACTTGTGGACTTATTTTCTAATTATCGCAAAAAACTAACGAAACATAACAAAAACAAAAATAAAACCAATCTAATATTTGACCCAAAACTACTCTAATCACAATTTTCATCATCATGGCTTGTTATACCAATTACAACTATTAATACACAAATACTATCATACTAATCCAACAACAATAACAACGCTTTTATAGTCTAATGTATTGACTGAAACTAATCAAATAATTGCTGATCTCAGTGTGGTTACAAACAACTTTATGTAAGGCAACATAATCGATTGTAACAAGAAAATATGAAGGTTGGTTTCATTTATTAATAATCTTAAATAAAACATTGACATAATTAGCAAATGGCATTTTAAGGTGGCAATTCTTGTATCCTTTATAAGACCGTAAATGTGTAATTCGCTTGTATGTGTAGAATGCTATCCATTTCAAGTGAGATGTTTTTTTCTCTTCAATTACAAAACAATGAAAATGCATGGGGCCGATGGCAAGTTTTTGATGCAAAAAAAAAAAACATTTTTTGAAGTTAGACATTTGAATAAAAAATTGATGGAATCATGGCTCAATAAAAAAGGTTGCTTAACTTCCAAGAAACAAGGAAAATGCAACTCTGTACCGGAGTCTTATAGTGTCAAATCTATTTTTAAATATTCAACACTTGGTTCTCTAATTTCATTTTCTATTTTTTTATATTGAAAAGAAGAATGAAATACTGGGGTTTCTCCTTAAAATTGAATTCAAGATAGAGGGACAATGCTGTTTCATCCCGAAATAACACATTTTGTTGTCCGACAACGTGGAAAATATGCATTTTTGTTGCATCTAAATTTAAAATAATTTCAAATTATTTTCTTTTTGATTCAAAACAATACGCACATATACAAACTGTGTATATGTTTTGACAGAATATGGGCACCAAAAGAAAAAAAATTATTTAGGGGGTAGCTTTATTCTACCCATGGTACAATGAAGAGAAGGTAGGCCAACTTTGAAAAAATTGCAACTATAGAAGTCTACCTGATTGGCTTGTAATGTCAGAAATGGTATCAAAACCATAACAAAATCAAGCAACTTGTTGCATTTATTTTGAATAAATAATTGAAAACCGCGAAAACTGAATGAAAGGTCAACACTTCTTTTCAAAACCATGTTCTATATATCTCTAAAGGATTATTTCGCTACAAAAACTCTAGATTTTGTCGATGCATACGATGAAATAAACATTTTGAAAACATCCGAATTTGAATGTTTTCTGAACAATGTTTTTGTTATCGAAAAGAAAACACATACATAAACAAATAAAGATGACATTTTAAGCCAAGAAAATAAAAAAATTGAAATCATATGGTATCATAGCCCTACCTTGATATCATTGTACCATGGTTCTACCTACTGTAGTTGTGCCATGGATGGAATCATGGTAATGATATCAAGGTAGGGCAGAACTACCATATGATTTTAATTTTTTTATTTTCTTGGCTTAATATGTCATCTTTATTTGTTTATGTATGTGTTTTCTTTGCAATAACAAAAAAATTGTTCAGAAAACATTCAAATTCGGGTGTTTTCAAAATGTTTATTTCAACGAATGCATCGACAAAATCTAGAGTTTTTGTAGCGAAATAATCCTTTAGAGATATATAGTACATGATTTTGAAAAGAAGTGTTGACCTTTCATTCAACTATCGCGGTTTTCAATTATTTTTTCAAAATAAATGCAATAAGTTGTTTGATTTTTTATTGTTTTGATACTAATTCTGACATTACAAGCCAAACAGGTAGACCTCTATACTTGCAATTTTTTCAAAGTTGACCTACCTTCTCTTCATTGTACCATGAATGGAATTATGTTCATTATACTTTCAAAACCTCGAAAACAGAAATTTACAATCTGACAACAACTCAGGGCCTTAAACCGAGCTGTCAAAGATGCCATATTTTCTTTTCACCTTATTTTATTATTGGCGTCAAATATATTGACAAAAGCAAGTAAAAAATAAGTAAGTTCGGGCGGGCCGAACTTAGAATACCCTCCAACATTTGGAACTGATTTAAAAATGTTCAAAAAATAAAATCCGTTAAAAATTCTGTTAAATATCTAAAAATCCGAAGACGTGGACCTGCATTTCGCCATTAGTCATTGCAATATTAAAATACGAAATAAAGAGGTACCGTTATATCGGGGCTATACGAATTCCTGGACATGCATATTTAATTTTCTGCCACAGGCTGTAGTAACTATTAGGAACTTTCAAACTATTTCGGTGAATATTGTACCTAACATCGTCTAAATACCGAATAAATAGGAAGACCTGGACCTGTATAGACAATTTTCTGGCAAAGACTGTAGTTCCCATTATGAACTCTAAATACGAAATTTGGTGGGGGGTACCATTATGGGGGCTATACGATATCGTGGACCGATATAGTCCATCTTCGAACTTGACCTGCCTGCAGACAAAAGACTGATCTGTGTAAAATGTTAGCTTCCATTCTTTATTCGTTTCGACTCTAGCGTGATTATGACAGACGGACGGACAGGGCTAAATCGTCTTAGAATTTTTCGCAAGGTTTAAAATGCTAACGCTAAATTAGCATTAGCAACGAAAAGTTTCAGCCTTGCCTGCAAAAATTCTTCGAAATATGTTGCCTATCACTGAGCTATGCCAACAAATAGCAACACATTACAAAAAAATAGTCGAGAGAGCTAATGCTATTTAAAATTGGCAGCCAACATAAAATAGCAGTGAGCGGCTGGCTGCAACAAAATTGAAATCAGCTCTAACATCAGCTCAGCACCGTTATTGCTTGGCAAGTTTTTCAGCCAACAAAAACAAATAGTGTTGTTGTGTTGCTCATAAAAAAGTTCATGCTGTATGAAATGCGATAAAAATCGCGTTCTTATACATTTGGTATTTGGTAGTTTTCTGATGTTATTCAATAAATTAAAAAAAAGTGGTAAGTTAGATATCAAAAATAAACTTAGGTTAGCTGACCGACAAATACCACTAATATTCCGACTCCAGCACATGGCACAACAGTAGCAAGTGTTCAAAGAAAGAACATAGCACCAATATCGTCACCAGTAAAAGTCCCTTAAGAATGCCCAGCAATCAAGGTAGTAGAAGAAGAAGACATAAACAAACTTTGTTTTTGTGTTGCATTCATTTAGTGCGAATTCAGCATCACAACAACTTGTTTTGACATTTAAAGGTAGATGTACCGTGGAGCTATTGCTTATTTTGTGTGCTGAATTTTTAGCTTCATTGCCGGTTTGGCCTAACAAAAATACGTAGCTTAAATATATATGTTATAGTGTCCTGTAATGTACTTTTTGTTTGCTTCCGCGTGTCATTTTAGGTTGAACGTTCGGTATTGGGGCGTATTCGGCAATTGAAATGATATATATATATATATATATATATATATATATATATATATATATATATATATATATATATATATATATATATATATATATATATATATATATATATATATATATATATATATATATATATATATATATATATATATATATATATATATATATATATATATATATATCATTTCAATTGCAAAAAATGTTATTTGATCTGAAAATGCTATATATATACGAATCCCGACCTAAATTTGACAAAAATTGAACTCGTTTGAAAACAGAAAATTTAAAACTTAAAAATTAAAGTAAAAATTTTTTTCTCTCTATAGAGAGACAAATTTAACGTAGCGTACACAAATATTTTTCTTTCCCGCCATGATGAAATGTTTTGTACGTCCTTATAACACAAATAAACCCGGTCAATATCTTAGAATTTACCAAAGTATACATGTAGAAAAGTTCGGCCGGGCCGAACTTTTAATACCCTGGAAGGACTTCAAATATTTCAAAAAAACCGTCGAAAAATACCGCTTAAATGAAAACCATTATATAGGAGCTATAGAAAGACAAGCACCTACGTAAGTAATTATCTGTCATATGCAGTAGTACCGATTCCAAACTTCAAATACGAAATTTGAAACAATTTCAGTGATACCGTTATATGTATGCTATACGAAGACGAGCACCTGCATAGACAATTTTCTGTCATAGGTTGTAGTACTCATTACGAACTTCAAAAATGAAATCTGAGACAATTCCAATGAATAATTTCACAAAATTATTAAAACACCGAATATCGGGAGGTACCGCTATTTGTAGGCTATACGAAGAGGTGGGCATGCATCAGAGATGGGCATAATGCACTGTATTTTTAGTGCACTAATAATTTCACTATCACTGTTCATTTAGTGGTAGTGCAATTTTTAATTCCACTACCACTAAAGGGTTAGTGGTAGTGAAAAATAAATTCATTACCATGTTTATGGGGAGCTGTACGAAAACGTGGACCGACATGGCCTATTT